GCGGCCGGGCCCGGGGTTGGTGCGCGGGGAGCGGGGCACCGCCGCTGGGGCCGGGGGGCGGGGGTGAGCACCCGGCTGGGATCGTCACTCGGCCCGCGGTGGCCGAGGGCGCCCGAAGCCGGCGCGCGGATCCCGGGCCGGAGCGCCGTGCCGGCCGCGGAGCGAGCAGGGGGCCGGGGCCATCCGGGGGAACCCCTCTGGGGCGCGGCGCTCCGCTTCCCGCGGGTGGGAAGCGGCGGCCGGTCCGGCCCTTATATCCGCCGCTCCGAGGAGGCGGGCCTTCCCTTCCCGGGGGCGAGGGCTCCGCGGGCGCCCGCCTCGGGCTGGGGGAACAGCAGGCGCGCCTGGCGCACGGGCAGCACCCAAAGTTTCGCGGTTTCGCGCCCGGCCTGCTGCGGAGGTCGCCCCGGCAAACACACGGGTTCTCGCAATCCCCGTCACCCGCCCCAGGGTGCTAAGAACCCCCGGGGCGGACCCAGAAACCCCGCACCCCACCCGGCGTGGGCAGGCGCGCGCGCAGCGCGTTCAACTCAGGAGAGAGAGCGAGAGAGTTGCTGGGGAAACGGCCCCGGAAAAGCCCGGCTCGTAAAATGCGAATAAATGAATCCGAAAGGCTCTCTGGCGGGCGGCGCCCCCTTCCTCCCGGCGCTGCGGATCGGCCGCCCCGCCCGAGGCCCCGGCCGGCTCCGCGCAGCCCGCGCGCCCCGCAGCCTCAGCCGCCCGGCGCCCCGCCGCAGCGCCCCCTCCCTCCGCAGCGCGGCCCGGCTCCGGCGGGGGATGGCGGCGGGGAGTGGAGGGGACAGGAGGAGCTGGGGAGGCAGGAAGCCGCGGGACGCGCTGCTGCCCAGACTAGGGTCACCCCAAAGGGCCGAGGAGGTCGGGGTCCGGAGCGCGCCCTCCCGCCAGCCTCCCCCCCACCCCGACCTGCGGCCCCGGAGCGGGCCGCCCACGTGGGTGCGGGCGGGGGCGCCTCCGTCCTGCCCTCGCGTCCCCCAGCCAGGCGGCTGCGAGAGGGCGGAGGTCTCCTGCTAGAAACTGGAGGGATATTGAGGTGGCCCCCAAGTCCGGAGGGGACCCCCGAGCCCCAGTCGCAGCCTCCAGGACTAAGTCCACCGAGCTTTTGGCTCCTTGACTCAGGCAGCTGCACGTCGTCGACGGAGGGGTAAAGGGACCAAGCGGACAGGGGTGTGCGCGTGCCTGTTTGCAGCCTTGTATGAAAGGTGGGCAGGTGGGGCAGGAGGGAGTGGAGGCCGGGGGAGAGAGACGGCGCGCACGGGGGCGCCACCTCCCCCAGCGCTTGGCGCCCGCGAGAGGAGCAGAAGCTCCAGAAAGAGCAAGGGGTGCACGCACGAAGGAGAGCCGAGGAGCGTGTGGGGACCCGGGGTGCATCAGCCGCGTACGTACTTGTGAAAGGATCCGGGTTGGGAGGCGGGGAGGAAACATTCAGGAGGTCCTCCTGCGGGGGTCCTGAGACCCACCGGCGGTTCTGTGCCCGCGCGGGGTCGGAGGGGACCCGAGGGAGGGCATGCAGTGGGGTTCAAGAACAAATGCCCCAGATGCGAAGCAGCAGCCTGCAAAGGGTGGTTTGTAGGCGGCGAAAGAGGTTGGAAGACGGGCGAACAAGTGACCGAGAGCGCTGGTCACCCGCAGGAGAGGAAGGGTCTTTGAAAAATGGGCAATAACACAAGTTGACAGCGGAATGTTGAAATCTTTGAGATTGGATGGTAATTTTTTTTGGACATCTAGAAATATGTCTTTACTAAAACGGTAAAATCCTTCAATGAAATGGTGACCATGTTAAAAAATTATGTTAAGGGAATTTGCTGCGTTTCTCAATTGTCATTTAAAGATAGACTAGAAACTTGGGCTTTGCTAAATCCATCCACTCAAATATGTCTAACGGGTTTCCTGCTCTTTGCCCAGGTCGTTTTCCCAGGACACACTTTTTGTTACCTGGCCAAGGAAGCGGGCCCCAGAACTTTGCTAGGCAAGTGGCCCTTGTAGGAAATACAGGAAGGAAGGTCCAGGGCAAGCAAGGTGGGGGGGGTGGGGATCCGAGCCTTTTGTCCATTCTGTAACCCCACCACCATAACCTGATGGCCAGTATACCTATGATTGAAATCAAATTCTCATAAATGGCGGCCTCTTTGACCTTTGGACCCCTGTGTTCTCCTGGGCACTGCTTGGGGCTGAGGGGTTGCTTTTCAGCTCAGGCTTCAGTGTTGAGGGAGTGAGTGTTCATGTCCTGGACCAGGTCCCTGGCAGAGGCACCCTTAGGTACTCTGTACACTCACCAGACC